AATCGACCTAGTAGCGAGACAACAGAGTCACAAAAACATAGGTCCTTCTTTCTTGCCACGCGGAGAGCCTGCCCGAAGGCTGCCTGAAGCGAGACTGCCAAAGAAGTTGTGAAAAGAAGGTGAAGGGGACATCCTGCAACGATGTTTGCTCAGTCTGTAGCATAGGCGTACGAGCTAGGGGGCGAGGAGGACTGCAGCCCCCCCACCCCTCCCCCAGCTACGGAAATTATGTCATTTTTGGGCCAAACGCGCATTATTTGGGCAACGACACTTGAGAGAAAACATAACAAGATAATACTGTTTGTGTGATTTCCAAAACTCGTAGATAAAGTCTCTAGTTAGTTACCTTTTTTAGAATTTCTTTTCTTTGAATAAGTTAAAGTTAGTTAGTTAAGTTAAGTTCTTTTAATTACTTTACTCGGAATGAGACTGTTGATAGAGTATGATTAATTGATTATGTAAGCTTTGAATATAACAATTTTCACGAGTGAAGATATCATATTTACGCGCGAAAGCTCTCCTGGTATTTCACCCGAGGAGGGTACTCCCTTATATGGGTTATATAAGTATGTGCGGCCCCAAAGGGTATGGTTTTTCAGCCGTTTGGTCATAAATAGGGCATCGATTTCGACCATTTTGGTTATAAATAGGGTACGTTTTTGTACTCGTCTTAAATTGAGTATGTGTTTTTAAGAAAAAGCTTCTTTTTCATCTTTATCGATAAGACCTTCAACAAGAGCCCATCATAATCTATGATTAATTAGGGCAACTGTGCCAGCCGCAACGGTAATAAATAGGGAATCCATTTTTTTTTTATTTTTTANCCAAAGGGTATGGTTTTTCAGCCGTTTGGTCATAAATAGGGCATCGATCTCGGCCATTTTGGTTATAAATAGGGTACGTTTTTGTACTCGTTATAAATTGGGTATGTGTTTTTAAGAAAAAGCTACTTTTTCATCTTTATCGATAAGACCTTCAACAAGAGCCCATCATAATCTATGATTAATTAGGGCAACTGTGCCAGCCGCAACGGTAATAAATAGGGAATCCATTTTTTTTTTATTTTTTATTTTTTTATTTTTTTTGTCAGGTCATAAATAGGGTAGGAAAAATCACAGATTTTGGTCAGAAAAGCTCATAAATAGAGTAAGGTTTTTGGGAAGCGGACTGCACACCCCAACCCAATTTTCCTGAGAGTATCTCCCTCGAGGTATTTCACTGGTGTTTATATGATAAAATATTATATCTGACTGGAGTGGATTTCTTGCACCGCAAGATCATCCAACTGTGATGACATGTTCGCCGATAACGGAACGTTTCAAGCGAATGTCCGGTTTGCCACATTTAGGAAATTCTGCAAATTTAAGCAGGACAGATTCACCAAAGGAGGAAGAAAGTTAGTCGGGTCAATGTAGAAGGTCAGGTATTGGACTGCTTCTTCATTGCCGTTCATTTACTCAGTCTAACTTAATGGTAATACTTTATTAGGGCATTTGCCAGAGTTTGTATTTTACCAGATCTCCTTAGTATAAGATCTGCGTCATCGTGTCTTCGTAGTAAGACTTAT